AGTTTATTTTCTCTAAAAGCAATGTAAAGAGATTGTCTCTGATCTTTAGTTTGTTAACGGTCTTTCTATTTAAATAGAGCCACTAACAGAGTGGAATTTGTAGACGAGTAATCTTCTTTAAATGGAATAGTTCTATTTGCCTACGCTAGAGCTCTCTAATAGGGAAAAATCTCAGAAAATATTGACGACTGATTCAAAATCCATTCTTTCTCGTTTCAGTACAGAAACTTTTGTTATATTTAAATGAGTTTTCCACGTATTTCCATAAGGCAAATTTAGTGGCAAACGAATACTGGAAATATCGAACTCGGAATGAGACCCTACAGGCATTATTAATTCCAGGATATCGCATGAGTTCAGTTTTTTTTTCAGTTTTTCTCTGTTCCCATACTTATTTTGCAGAATATTTTAGGCCGTTTTTGCAGCAGTTCGAGTATTCCTATATGTTTTTTTTTCAGTAGAGGGGAGGACTCGTTCGTTAATAAAATAAAATATTTGGTTTCAATAAGGCAAATTTATTTTTTCTGCGTTGCTCAATTTTACTGATGTCAGCGTTGTTAGTAATCAAAGGTTACGAAGGAAAGTCAATAATAAAACCAGGGGGAGATTCATTTAATTTGTAAAAAACTTTGGATTTGATTTGGAAAAATGTATTATTAATTTTTTTATTGAATCAAAAATTTATTGGTTTATACACTGAAATGTAAAAAAAAAAGTTTTGTCAAATTAAAAGTGTTCATGATTTTTTTAGCAAATTGTGTATAAATTATAACATCAAAAAGTAATAATAATAATAATTAATTGAAAAAATGCAAATTGTTGGTGATAACTTCATTTTGCTCCTAAAAAATAACCAAGGTATGTGTTGACATGGGTCAAAAAACAAAATGCGTAGAAGAAATGGCTCTAACGGAAAAGTTATGTTTTAGAAAAATTGGCTCATGAAATTATTGCACAGAGTATTTTAAAGTTAGGGTAAAAAACAACACTTTGATTGGCCTTATATAATAAGTCAAATCCTAAAATTTAGTCGTAAATGAATTTATCAATTAAAGTAGATATTTCTTTCTTCTTCAAAAACAGTTTGGTAAAAAACTCATGAAAATAGGGCCAAAAAAAATATTGTATTTTAAATTTCACGAAAAAAATTGAGTGTAGAATTTTTGCATGTAAAAAGATTCTATATTTTTACTACTACCAAATTTTTATGATTTTATGACAATAACGGCATATCAACTATTAGTCTCATACAAATTTTATTACCTAAAATCTGGAATGTCGTTTAGTATTTTAGCGTTCAAAATTCAGCAACAGCGCTATATTTCAATACGCTTGAAGAAGTTGAGCAACAGTCGTAAATTCAATTTCCAACTATCCCAAAACTATTAGCATACTATGGAACCAGTCCTCCCTATTGATTTTTATTATTACACCCCCGTTGATTTACTGCTAGTATCCCTTTGTTTGCAGCACATCAAATCCCACTCTTACCAGAGGCGGACCAATGCGATTTTTTAATAGCTATAATATAATTTTCGTTCATAATATTAAAGAATATGATACGAATTTCTTTCCTAAATTTTTTATTTATGTATATTATGTTTATAAAAGATGGTCCGCCTTTGATTTTAATTTATTCACACTGCAGTTATATTTTGGTCATGGACGGTCGAAGTTTTGGCAGAGTTTTTAGAAAAGCGGCGCCAAAATAAAATATACAGGAGTGGTCCGAACTGTATCTCAGAAACTTAAAGCAACATATTTTACTGGATAAAAATAAGCAAAAAGTTCATATAATGTATGTCCCAAAATGCTTACTTTCGGAGATACAGGGTGTAGAAGTTTCATTTTTATTTCGATTTTTTACAAATAATTTCTGAAGTAACGTCAATATTTGGATGAAAATTGGTGTTTGGGAGTTTTTTGACATGAGAAATTTGATTTTGATGTCAATATGACTCCTATTTGTAGGGGGCGCCACCTACATGTGTTTTAACTGTTTTGAAGGGTAATAACTTTTTGTCCGTACCTGTATAAAATTACTGAGTGAAAAATATACATTTCCGTGATTTTCTACGTAAAAAATGTCTCTTGGTAATAATCGCTACGTGCAACCGTTCTCAAGATATTTACAATGGAAATAGTCAATACATGTCATTATTGACTAATAATAAACATGTTGAGTAGATAGTTATTTGACTGAAATGAGAAATTTGGGAACTTTTTATTTTTTTAAAGTAATAAATTTTTCTTCGAAAAAATGATGATAAAACAGTTTCTGTTGAACTTTTGGCACAAAAAAACATTGCAAATTTATGATTTTTGTGTAATAACTAATTAGTCAACATGTTTAATTTATGTCAATGATGAAAGGTAGTGGTAATTTCGATTCCAAATATCTCGAGAACCATTACTCGTAGCGATTTTTACCAAGAGAACTTTTTTACGTACAAAACATCGTAAATGTGTATTTCTTAATTAGGTAGTTTTTTAGAGGTACGGAAGAAAAGTTATTACTCTTCAAACCAGTCAAAAAATACATAGGTGGCACCCTCTACAAGTAGGAGCCATATTGACATCGAAATCAAATTTCTTATGTCAAAAAACTCGCAGACACCAATTTTCATCCAAATATTAACGTTACTTCGGAAATTATTTGGAAAAAATCGAAATAGAAATGAAACTTCTACACCCTGTATCTCCAAAATTAAGCCTTTTAAGACATACATTTATAAGAACTTTTTTACTTATTTTTATCTGCAGAATATGACGCCCAAGTTTCCGGAATACAGTTCGGACCACCCTGTATATAAAAAAATAATATAGGAAATTAAAATTTGCATTTTCTGAATTTATAGCTATACAATATTTGTTCTGTTTTATTTAAAAGTACCTTTTTATTACTACTTAAAATTAATTTGGTTTTATTATTCGAAATCACGTTTAATTGTTAATTTTTCACAAGAATTATTAAAGTCGGTTTAATATTTAATATTATTTTAAATAGAGAATCAGAAAATATTACGAAATATAACAAAGCAAACATTTGTTATATAAAAACAATTATCTCTTTGATATATTTTCGTAGTAAATCTCGAAAGTTTATTTATATAACATTTAAATAAATTTAGAATTTTAATTTAACTTCTCAACGCAGTGGAATAATTGTTCTCTATACAAAGCGCTGTTTTTAATTAATACTAATTTAATCACACTAAACTGTAAAGTACATCTTTTTAATAAACGTTTGAACTTAAAATGTAGGTTTTATAGAAAATAAATTGTCCAACTCCAAATTAAAATTGTTAAAGCTAATCAAAACGTAAGAGATTGTGTGCTTTTTATCAAATTTATAGGCATTTGCTAAATCTATTAGCTTCTTGATATTTTTAGTAGAATTTTAGTGCCTCCACTGTGTAGAACAATATTTTACCACGCATAATCGACTATCATTATTGTGCAAAAGTCGTTTTTCGAAATTGTGTGAAAAAAAAAGGTATAAAAGTCCCTTCCGGTCCCATTCAAGCACATAAATCAAAACTTTTAACACCCGCTTTGTAAAAGTTTTTTCAAACTTTGCTTCTGAAAACTTTCGAACTGCCTGGAATTATGTATTACTTTTTATTTCTAGTATTTTGGGCACTTGTAGGTTTTAATATTTTTTTTATTATACACAGTATACTATTGTTAATTAATCTAACAATGAATTATACAGGGCGAGCCCGAACAGTATTCCGGAAACTTCGGCAAGCATATTCTGCAGATCAAAATACGTAAAAAAGTTCGTATAAATGTATGTCTTACAATGCTTAGTTTCGAAGACAAAGGGCATAGAAGTTTCATTTTTATTTCGATTGTTTCCAAATAATTTTTGAAGTAACGTCATTATTTGGAATAAAATTGGTGTTCTGGAGTGTTTTTGGACATGAGAAATTTGAGTTTGATGTCAAATTTTCTAGTCCGTAGGTACCTGTATAAAACTACTGAGTAAAAATATACATTCCCGTGCCTTTTTACGTAAAATGCCACATGGTCAAAACCGCTACGAGCAACCGTTCTCAAAATATTTAGACTGGAAATAGTCAATACATGTCATTATTGACAAAAATAAACACGTTGGAGTAGATAGTTATTTGACTGAAATAATAAATTTAAGGAAATTTTAATTTTTAAATCAATCATAAATTTTTCTGCGAAAGAATGTTGGTAAAACAGTTTTTGTTGAACTTTTGGAACAAAAACATTTCAAATTTATGATTTCAGTCTAATAACTATTTAATCAAATGTTTAATTTATGTCAATGATGATAGGTATTGATAATTTCGATTCCAAATATCTCGAGAATCATTACTCGTAGCGATTTTTACCAAGAGACCCTTTTTACCTAAATGTATATATTTTTAAGTCAGTAGTTTTATACAGTTACGAACGAAAACTTATTACTCTTCAAACCAGCTAAAAATATGTAGGTGGCGCCCTCTAGAAGTAGGAGTTATTTTGACATCAAAATCAAATTTCTCATGTCAAAAAACTCCCAGACACCAATTTTCATCCAAATATTGACGTTACTTCATATATTATTTGGAAAAAATCAAAACATCTACACCCTGTATCTCCGAAATTAAGTATTTTTGGACATATATTTATACGAACTTTTTTACTTATTTTTATCTGCAGAATATGCTGCCGAAGTTTCCGGAATACAGTTCGGACCAACTTGTATATAAAAAGTAAACAAAAGAATACCGGAAACCGTTTGATCTCATATCAAATGATTGCAGTAATGCCTTTTATATATTCCCGTTTTTATTTTACACCCAATCGATGTGATTGTTTTATTACCATCGGTTTTCGGTGTTTATCCGGATTTTCAATTGATTTTTATTCGCTGGAAAATTCGGACAAACACCGCTACCAAAATCCATTTTGTTTTGTCCGATATTTGAAAGCATCGTCCTAGTTGGCTTTTTTGTTTTTGTTTTTGGTTTGGCATGACCTAGTATGAGCTAACACTGGTAGCGTCAGATAGTCTGAATGAGAATTACACCACGGTAGTGATTCATATCAGGGACGTCAACGATTTGCCGCCCAAATTTGACTGTAGCGTCTACGAAAAGACGGTGGAAGAAGAGTTTCCTGCCACTTACCCCACGCTGCTGAAACAGGTCAGACATATTAGTCTATTTTTTAATATATATATATATATAATATCCTATAATAAATAAAAATATTGAAGAAATCAAGACCAAGTTCTCGTATATTACAGGAGAAAACAAAATATTATTTTCTTGAATATTTGAAACACTCTGTTAAATGGTTTGCCTTAGTATGAAATTAAAAAAAAAATATATATATATATCTTCCAGGTGCATCTTTTCTTCATAGTTTGTACATTGATAATTCGTAATTATTTTTTATGGAGATATTGCTTTTGAAGAAGACCAATAAATAAAATGTATATAGTAAAAAGTAGTATATAGTAACCAAAGTATATAGTAAGGATATATACTGGATATAAGTTTGATGTTGATTTTAAGTGTTTATTGTAATTTCACTGGCATTAAAAGTCATCTTCGGTCAATCTAAACATTTCAATCTTCCCAAATTCCGACAAAGCTGAATTTTGGTAAAGGACCTTTTTTTATTTTTCTCGTAAAAAGTTTTTTTTAAATAGCTCAGATCAAAATTGGAATTTATAATATTATCTACAATAATGATTCTTATATTTTTTTTCTTTGGAATTACGCTTTTGCGATATTCCTATGAAAAACTCAATTTTTTTATTTTTTTTTATTGATATTACAAGAACATTAAATACTATTTCATAGATGTGTTCATTCGAACCTAAAGCAAAAAACATGCTTTTAATGCTAAAACTGCTGAATACCTTCAATAAAAATAAAGTTATTGAGATGAATCAAACATCAAACCATCGAGAAGAGATGCACCATAATGATTAAGTAATTTTTAAATTTCTTGCGTTGTTGAGTCACTCTACAGAGTGTTTCAAACTTTCGTCGAAATAACAAAAGAGACTCGCCCTTATAACTTTTTATTTTCTCAGTCTAAAAAACGAGAGTTGGTATGTCTCAGTACACGACATAAATCAGGACTGATTGACGAATTTAGTGATTTTCGACTGCAACTTTTGATTTTTAAATGGTCCCCTCTATATTTTTTTTTTCATTTTATTCGATAGAAAATGACATTCTGAATAGAATGACATCTCATATGTCAACTTTTGACATTTTAGCTTAAAGAAAATAGTGTTTTAAATTTCAATCTAGAGTGTCATGAGTTCATAAATATTTGACTTGAAATAGCAAGTATGTTTAACAAACTATGCATAAAATTCCGTAAAAATTGTAGTCACTGCTGGTGAAACAGGAAGTGGCCAAAACTACTGAATACTTCAATCAATCCTGATTTATATCATATACACAAATACCAAATCTTGTGTTTTTATCCCAAAAACTAAAAAAGTTACAGGGATAAACCACTTTTCAGAAAAAACTCAGTATTTTTATTGAATATTTTCAATATTTTGTGGATATTTTAAGCAAGACCTTTGCATATTATGTGCATTTAAAAAAATAAATAAATATTTGAATTTCTCTAATTATAAAATTAAAATTAACATGACAGAGATCTTCTAGAAAAATACAATTTAACTCTTCATTATCCTTCACATGGTTATTAATCAGAAACTTTAAATTAACCTTTAATAGTTTATTCATTAGCCTCTAAGGCGTTTTAAAATTAGCATAGTATAGAATATGGCCAAATTAATAGGGGTGAAGCTTTCAATTAAATCCAGATTTTAACTTTTATAGTCTAATATAAATTCTCATTGCTTGAATAGTAGCTAGTAAAATTTTCTTTGGAAGAGTTTGCCGCACTTTGGCGAAATTTATTTAAATCCGTGTGAATCGATTAAGCATCCTTAATGAGAGTTTTAATTGGTTGTACTTAAAAGTTATTAGGAAAATACGATTAGAATAATGAGATAGTTCACATTATTGTTCATAAATATTGTACATATTTTTTTAGTACTCATATCTATTTGTACTTATTTCTGTTTGTACTTATTGGTCACTTATATCTATTGGTACCAGGGTTAAGTTTAAAAAAAATGAACTAAAATGAGTATTTAAAAAATTAAAGATTTTTAAAATTCAATTGGCCAATCAACTAGTAAAAACTGGTTTGATTTCATTTATTTGATAATTTAACACTTACTAAATTATGGTTTTTTTAGTGGTAAATTTATCTTAATTAATGGTTAATTTATCTTATTTTATCTTATAATTATAATTATATATTACCATTAAATGGATAAGACGGGTTAATAAGGGGTAATTTTACCTCAACTTAACACTAAAATAAAATATATACTTTAGCTACAGCAGATTACTTAAAGAGACATTTTGCGGCTCCTTGTTCCTTATTAAAAACTATATAACACTATAAAACTTTTAATCAAAGTCTAATTAAAAGTTGTATGCTATTAATCTGCGTCCATTCTTATTTTTCATTAGTATGCTAATTTCTTGAACGTCGTCCTAAAGGAATATAAATTAACTATCAAGGCTAAATTTAAAGTAGTTCGGTTGACAGGAAGCCAGTTAGGATCCATTGAAGAGTTATAATTTCTTGTCGAAAGTTCGTCTAATTGATTTAGTTAGGCATTTGCAATTCAAGCCGCGTAAGCAAATTGTTGTCGGAATTACAGCTTACAATGAATGTTATGTGAAGTTTAGGCGTGATAAAGTTTTAGCTTCGAATTTTATTACAACTTATTAAAAAGAAATTTCGCTGAGGATCCATTAGTTTGCTAGAAAGTTAAGTTCAACTCGGTATTTTATTATTTTTATCTAAAAATATATTTTAACAAGCAGTTTAAAAACTACTAAAGAAATCTTTCAATCAACGCTACTCAATCTTGTATATAAAGACCGCTGGAAATATACATATCGTCTGGGAACAACAAAACTCAATATTTCGTGTTACTTCATTTTTTTCAGACGTAATAGGGAGATAGCAGATATTCGTCTTGCAGAAATAAAATAAAAATATATTTCTGGAGTTAGCAACCTTTATTGTTTGAAATTTTGAAAATGGAGTGAATATTACCCAACAGATTTAGAAATATAATCAATTAAATTTAAAAGTATGATATTCATAACCATATATTTATAATATCGTCGGTCTAGAAGCCAAACATACAAGTCCAAAACGAATAAATTTTTAATGCAGTTTTAAAGAACTGAAGTAGCAGCATTTTGGACTTAATGAATATGAAAATAATTTAAAAATTAAACTTATAATTCTTAGAAGATATGGTAAAATCCTTCCATGCTTATCCTATTTTTTTTACAACGGTAGTAGACCGAGCTTGGAAAACAGTGCGGTCATTATAGGATGAAAACAGCGTGATTTTATTAAATTTTTAATGTTTTTCTCCTTATTTTTTTTAATTTTTATAAAGATTATGTATCATTTACGATGAAAAACATTGAAAATAAAACTGATTAGGTATTATGGAAATTCTTGTACAAGTAATTAATGTTACTTAAACTATTTATAGCATGCCGATGAATTGCTCGTATATAGAGAATTTCATTTTTCCCCTTACCCCTTACGGATACGTATTTATTACGTATTTACTGAACGGTATTAACTTATACAGTATATTTTTCTCTTTCTAATGGTATAAAAAAAACTTATTAACGTAAAAAATGGTGTTAGCAGGTTATCACGTTTCACTGACGATATATTTTTAATTAGTAATTAGACAATACGGGTGTTGCTCTTCAAAGTTCAGTTAAGCTCAGTTAAAAAAATATGTAGGTGGCGCCCGTACAAGTAGGAGCAATACATCGAAATCCATTTATCATGCCATAAAACACTCAAACATGATTTGTCTCCGTTTGGTTCCATTAGTTTTGAAAACAATTCAGACCACCCTGTGTACAGGGACATCTTTTATAGAGAGAGATTTACAACTATTATTCTCCTATAATGTTCCCACAATAAATTCTTCCATTATTAAAATCCATCGACTTCACGCCGAGCGATATATTAAATTCTCGTAAAAAAGTTACTCTCCTTTTAATAATCCTTATTACGTCGTCGGCATTAAAAAAAGGCTTATAATCGATTGCCATGCCATCGAATAAATTGCCTCCTCATAAGTAGCGCTGCTCAAGCCCATCCCTATATAAGAGGAGGAAGTTTTATTAGCTTCTGCCGATCAGTCGGCAAGAATTTATATTGGGTTTTAAAAGTTGCCGCCATCACCCCCAGTTCTCGCAGCTAATTGAAACTGTCAGGCTTATCGTTTTTAGTTTTATTCGTCTATTTGGAGGCCATTAAGTGAACCGAACTTTAAAGGAAGGCTTCGCGACGATTATCAATTATCTATTAAAGTTTAGTAATTTGAGAAGCGCGAAGTTGGCGACGGAGTGAGAAAAAATGGTAATTTGTCGGATATGCTTTGCGTAAATAGATAGATAATAATACAATTATAAAATTCCTATAAAAGTATTTTTATACGCTGTGCTGGTTAAACTTAATCACGTGACTATAAGTTTATTTGGTATGAACTGTATTGTTTTTTTATTAAGACTTTTTAATATGATCAGTGTACCTATTTCTATATTAACTGAAAGCTCTTTTTTCTCTTGATGAAGTCACTAAAATAGAACAAAATATAGAGAAAATTAAGAACAAATGAGTTTATTTTCCTACTATTAAAAACAATTTACAGACCGCTAGCCTGAAAACATCTTTAAATATTTTTATTAATATACCGGGTATGCCTCTCGAAAGTGGCTCACCTCTATAACTCTTTTATTTTTCAGATAACATAAACGAGATTTGGTATATTGTTATATAACATAAAAATTAGGATTGATTGACGTATTCAATCGTTTTCCTGGCCACTTCCTGTTTCTGGAAATGACTACAACTTTTGGTTTTAAATGTCACCCTCAGTATATTTTTACTTTAATCGATAGAAAATGACACCCTGAACTATAACATATCATATACCAACTTTTGACAATCTCGCTTAAAAAATCGTATTTTAAATTTCAATCTAGAGTGCCATCCATGCCTGTGTTAAAAAAACTAATTTTTAATCAAGGAGCCTTGGAAAAATGGAATTTGATCGTCTAATCGTTTTCCTGTCTTATCTGTATTTACAATGTAATTTTTCAAATGGAACAAAGATTGCTTCATTAACATATTTGGAAAAATTTTTTACAGATAATTTGGTACCTAAACTTAGTATTTCGAGTCAAATTTTCGTTATGAACCGCATGTTACAATTTCAAATAAACCATATGCTTAGGTGTCAAAGTTGACATATGATATGATCTATTCAGAATGTCATTTTATCGAATAAAGTAGAAATAACCGAGGAGGCCATTAAAATTAAAATACATACCAAATCTCCTTTTTATCTGAAAGAATAAAAAAGTTATAATGATTTAGTCACTTTTGAGACGCACCCGATATAAATAAATAATTGTATAAAGATGAAGAAATATAAAATGACTATAAGATGAACATTTCATTTTCCTAAAAGACGGATATATCGAACATTCTCTAGTACAGCTCTCGTTCTAAGTGGTAGAATACACAAGCAGTGGCGACGCTTGTCTTTAACTAATTTGCCGTAGGTTTGCACAGCATTTACCACTGATTTGAATTCTTTCTTCAATGAGTCGATGGAGATTTAGATGCTAGCCGTTTAATCCAGTACTTTAATCAGTTTAATTAACATCTGAAGTTGGCAACAGTAAGGCAAGCCTCGAACTATATTCATTGAATATTCAAAGATTATAGCTATATCTGCTTATATTTTTGAATAGGTATGATTAATTTTTATTTTAATATAATTAATGTTATGTTACATTTTTTATTAAATTAACTATTAAATTAGAAATATCTATCCAATTTATTCAATTTTAATTTTATTAATTTGTATATAAAATTATATTTTTTTAGTTTATACAATTATTTATATTTATTTTATTCTTTATTCTTTATTCGTTTTATTTTCTTAGAATTATATTCTTATGCAAGACTTGCAGTAACGGTAGCTGAGAAGACTATAAAGAATCATTCAAAAGAATGCCTATAATATTATTCTTACTACTTTTATTGAAGAGTTAAAATTTAAATTTATAAAAATAGAAAACAAATTTCTTGCAGTATGGGTATATAATAAAATTATATAGGATTCTTGCCATAACTGCTGATATAAATTTAATTCTACGCTGTGTTAAATAAAATGTGTGTTAATTTAAAATTTTACATACAGTGCGTTTGTAAAATGGTGTCAAATTTCAGGGGGTGATTCCTTATCAAAAGTATAGAAAAAAAGCGGAAATATAGAAGGAATGAAAAGGCGTTGTTTTAAACATACAGGATGTCAAAAATTAAAAAACAAATCTTAACACGCTGTAGCCTATTTTATTTAAAATTTTCAATATTTCTAGCAATAGTGGCCTAATTTAGGTCTAACTAAATAAAAACTATTAAATCTGTGGTGTCCAACGGGACACCTATATCAATAATTGTTAAAAATTGCGCTAGTGACTGTTCTTATCATTTTTATATTTTTTGGATAGGGGAACTAAAAATACAACTTTTTGTACAATATCTGGTAGATTAAACCTCTACAGTTCACTTCAAATAAACATTTAGTACATGATTAAGCTTGACCGGCTCAGCGTTGCCAACTTTTATATATTTTAATAAATATAATAATATAATAAATATTTTCAGAAACAAAAATAAATTAATTATAAATATATAAACAGTTATTATTTACATCAACAAAACTCACCTTCTTAGAAGCACTTAAGGGACTGAGCCATTACTACCATTAATTTCCCATTCAAAATATTCTAATAAAGTTGCGATGAGTTTTACGGCTGTTAATTACAGCTATCTTACACTTCGCACTAAAAAGAGGTTCTAAAAGAACAATATTCGACTACAAGGTCTGCAAGTAAACATTTTCAAGCTAAAGTATCACAACACTATTTATTTAAACCAAAAAACTTGTAATACAATACAAAAGTGTCAAAACGAATGACAATGTCAGGAAATAAAAGAAATAAATGTGGCAACTTGACAGTTTGAACAGAATGAATTTGAAAATCGCTCCCTCGATTACGTAAAATTTTAATTGATATGTTTAATGTATTAAATTTTATTTTTTCTTTTTTGACATATCAGTATAGCTGCGTTTTATATACAGTGAAGCAATTTAAAATTTAATTTCTAAAATAGGCAAGATATAAAATATGGATAAAGGAAGTGAATTTCCACCGCTAAATTAAACCATTTTCTTCAGGTATTCTCAGTAGGTACTGCGCCAGCATCATATTCATCAGGCTCATTTATTATGCATATTGCTTTAAAGTGTTTATAAATTACAGAAAAAATTTAACAAATTTTATATTTCTTCACACCATTATTCATCCTTTATTTATTCATCAGATATATTTTTTTATTTATTTCTATTACATTGTATTCTGTAAATATTAATGGTAGTTTCCACGTAAACAAAACAATCCTTTAGAATGTTTGATGACCGGATGATACAAGGTAAGAAAATTAGAGTGTGTTAGAGCAAGAGAGATTGTGTGTTGGTAGTGCACCCGACAAATGCATTTGCTACCCGTTTTACGTTGATTTATTGTAGAAGCTGCTCGTTACAAACAAAATACAAACGGTTGGCCGGGCTTTATCTGTAGCCGATGGCGAAGCTGAAATAACTACGTACATATGGGGTACTACGTACATACGTGTACTCTGGGACACGAATAATGCATGTAGTTTTACGAAAGTTTAAAAGATTTATTTCCGAGGAGATTATTTTTATAAAATAACATTCGAGATACTTCCTGTAACGTAATATATAAATAGAATGCAACGTTAAACAACTGTTTAAGGTTGTAGCTAGAGTTCAGTAACTTGAAACTATATTTATGATATTAAGTTTTATCTCAGCTGAGGACAATATTTTAAGTAGGTACAAGAGTTCCTCGTTTTACGTTCCTTGAAACTACCGCTTAAATCGAAACCGAGTATATTGAAACAAAATTTTTATAACATACTCAAGGTTCAATCTGGGATTCTTGAAAACGCTCTTCGTTTTTTTAAAAATGCATTCTGACCCTGTTCTATCGGTTTTATTTCCTTCCACGTCGTTCTTCAAGGTGTTAACAATCCAGGACCCCAAGTATTTGAAGGAGATCAAGATCTACCAGCCTACAGCTACACTGGTGTAGACATTCACACTCACACACAACAACCACACCTACATCAGTGTACACTAGTGTAACTGCCTTCCAACATCATCAGTACGGTAAGGAATCAGCAAGCGATCACAACGATCCCAAAAAATATAAACCAGGAAGCAAACGATGCACGAGGCACCGTCTGTAACCTAGTAGATGAAAAAAAAGATGATGAAAACAAAAGGAGCAAACGGAAGCCTAAGACCCCAATTTGCAGCCTAGAAGAAGCATAAGTATATGTATGTGTGTTTATAAAAATATGTATACTAGGGCTGGCATTTCTGGTCTTGGATGCCGATTTTCGTGTACGAAGAGTCTTATTGGGCCAACACGCTTGAAAAATAAGATAATACTGAATAAAGACAGAAGACAAATTGATCATGTTTTTTCTTCTATCATTGTTTCTTCTTCTATTGATCATGTTAGTTATAATTACTATCGTTGTTATTAATCTGATTTCTATATACGTTACAGGAATGAAATCAACATTTATTTATCAGTACATAGTACAGATGTGTATTTTATAACAGCACATATTGTATACACTATTTTGTAATCCCGTCTACAAAACCGAACTTTAAAACAAAGTACCCTACTCGTAAATTCAAAAAGCCCGCCATGCATTATATCCAAACGTCCAAAAGCGTAACAGAACAGACACACATTTCTCCTTCGAGAGCGGCACAATAAAACCGAGCCAACCTCACACAACGGTATTTATCCTGTTCTCTTGGTCCCGTCCTCCTCCGGCCGTCTAATATTTGTTTAGCGCCCGCAGGGGACAGGACTCTAATACGTCCTCATCTCACGTTTTTCTTTTTTCCTGTACAAACAGGTCACCGCCACGGACGGGGACAAGGACAGGCCGCAGAACATCGTCTATTTCTTGACGGGACAGGGCATCGATCCGGACAACCCGGCCAACAGCAAGTTCGACATTAACAGGACGACAGGAGAAATATTTGTACTCAAGGTAAGTGCTCTAGAAGCTTTTGTTTTTAAATTTGATTTTAGGTTATTGTGAACGGGTAACCTTAGATCTTGAGGAAGTTTTCTATGTCAGCTATATCGACAATTTCAACAAAAAACTCGCGAATATTTTCGAAACTAAGAAATATGCATTTTATATCCTTTCTAATGCTATAGTTAGAGATATCTTTACAATCAATATCAGATACAACAAATTATAGCTTATGTGTTATTCTGATGTATAAGCTATATTATTGTAGTTTCATTAAAACCCATTCAGTAGTTTTTGCGTGGAAGAGTAAGAAAAGGTTAGTATTGGGTCGAGACTTCGAGGAATTGAGTTGGTGTTCGACAGTGGTCACGCTATTAGAACTCTGAATTCAAAAATCATATATCAAAATCTATATCTCGAAATCCATTAGAAAAAATTGATTTTCAAAAACTTTCTTAATATTTCTGCTATATTTTCTTCTCAGACAGTATGTGAAAATCTTTATAAATATAAAAGTTACATGAAAATTGCTATGCACTAAAAGTAAATGGATGGGTTCTTTAAAATTTTTGAATGAAAAAAAATAAACCTATCGAATTTTTGTTAATTTAAACATCTTTTAAAAGACCCGAACTTCAAAATAGAAAAAAGTTTCAATATCTAAAGTAGTTCTTGAGTTATCACGTGTTATGTGTTAAAAAGTTGACTTTTTAAATTATCTGGATTACTGATGTTTTCTAGTTATAAAAAATGGACACCCTAATGATATCCTTATAATTCCATTTTGGATACTCAGAAACGTATCTAATGATTTTATCTAGTTATCTTTTGGAAAAAAAAGGATTTTAAAAAATAAGCTGTTTATGATCGGGATTTTACTTTACTTCACAGGGAATGTGTACCGGAGAAAGGTGGCAACGCCGTAACAGCACACCGTCGCATTTCTCTCACTCCGACTTAATCAGATCTTTACTTCCACACATGTAAATACCAAAAGTAAGAGTTGCCAACACGGTATATCAGATATTATGTTTCAGCTTATTAGTACTTTTTAAGAGTTTCTTAAAATTGAACGTTTTTCAACACACAGTGTAACAAAATACCTACTTAATTCTTACTGAAAATATCAATACAGGCAATATACATTCAGAAATTGCAAAATCCATTACTGTATTAACAAGAGTTGTTATTTTTCTTATATAAAGATTTCTCTTTCTTCAGTAAAAAAAACCTTATGAAATATATAAATCGATCTTTGTGGATGGTTATCTGTCTCTCTCTTGATAAAAAACAAACATTAAGACTACAGAATCGTAACACTACAACATTCGGCAACGTTACAAAGCCAAGGTTTCACCTTGTAACAACACCCCCGAGGGTTTTTCCTTATAATTTATTTATCCGCACCGCTGAGACCATAAATTTCACCCTTAAATTAATGTTAATTAAGAAATAAACAACCTCACCAACATAAACTTTGGTTAACTCAGGTTTGGTATTTTCTGTTTTCAATTATGTTAGTGGTTATTTTTTTTTTTTTTCTAAAAATACAATTGAGTCTCGGAAACATAGAAACAGCAAGATATAGGGTAGTACAATACATTTACCTTTAGTACTTAAATTTTATTTTTGTCATTGACGGAAATATGGCAGAAAAATTTAAATTTCCAGTTTTTGTTTACATTTTTTAATAGTTTATTTAGAAATAATCTGGAAACTCATTCTCCAGAAAACTTCTTTAACTTCATCTTTTGGTGATGCGAAACAAAATTTTTCTGGAACTATCATCAACTTTATTTTTTTAAATAGGAGCTTGATTTTCTTAATTTCTTTTTGAAAATCTTCTCTATCCAATTTATTTTGTTTATATGTACTTTTCCAAAAAAAATTGTTGTTTATTACACACACACACACACATTACAAGAGACTACTACATTATTGTATTTAGTAGTTTTTTGTCATAATTTCTTTAACTATTTCCACCTTATACACCTATCAATTACTAGAATATTAAAATGCCACGAGCTATATACTTTGGGATAATGATACATCGTCAGCAGAAAAAAATACCCACCAGCTGGACATTATCACTTAACGAATATAAAGAGAAAACATTTCAGGTCTCGTTATTTATTTTGCTACCTTTTCATAACTGAATATAAGACATTTTCCTTCTTGGCCTACGGCCTTGCGATCCATCAAGCTAAAGTGGAGAAAGAGAACAATAGAATAAAAAGACGGACAGTGTTGCAAATCTTGACAATCCGTAGGCTAGGTTTAGCTGAATTTAGTCCAAAAAAATAATGAGTATACTCACAATATATTTTGCATCACTGTAATTAACCAGTAGACTTACTTAATCTAATGATTAAAAACCGTGCTAAATTATAAAGCCTCAAAAAAATTATCCACCAACAACAATGGAGAATAGTGAGGAAAAAGTAAACAAACTTAAGTGGAAAAAAACCTTTACATGGAATTTATTTTTTCAAGAGGCGGTAAATCTTAATAAAACGAAAATTAGAACAGAAAAGAATACTTAATTCTTAATTAGCGTTACTTTAGAGCCTAGTCAGCGCTAGAGGTGGTCTGGTAATATTATTACGTGTAAAACTACAGGGATGAGGTTAAAGGTTGAAGTGTTAGGTTCCCCAGCATTACGGGATATCGTGTAATGGTTTTTGTTCTTTCTGTCTTTTGACTGACCGTTAGTAAAGTCGTTTTGTTAAAAAATGAGATTGTTACATTGTTACATTTGATTTTATTACTGATGTTTAAGCATCAGTGATACTCTCTTATAGGGTAGCTCCATTGTTGTCGAAAGTATAGAAGCTAAAACTTAAAGAGACTAGTTTAATATAAATAATATCGTATTGACAGTTACCAACATACAGACTTATTTTGGAACATTATTTATAATTCATGTCTATTTAAAACCAGTAGAATATGTTTTATCTTTAACAACATATGTTATGAATGGCCCAAAATAAAAAATTGTTTTGTTCTAATATCATAGATTTTAATCTAATGTTTATTATATTTTTCAAACAGGAATTGTGTATCGGATCCTGACAAATTATGGAATTACTTTTTTTTAGAAATTATTTAATTATTTAGGAATTAGTAGAACAAATTAAGTAATGATCAGATTGTTTGATTTATATAGGTACATTAAAAGAAATTAATTTCATTTTTTCTTTAATACATCAATTTAACAGTGAATTATATAACTTTTGGAACATTTTATATATTTTTCTATATTTTATATTACACTAAATATTTCAATTCAGTAATGATTACACACATGCACGAAAGGATTGTACCTTTTTAAAAAAGCAATCATACCCATGGAATATTAACATTTTAGATATTTTGTAAAGCAACAAATGTACAGTTAAACAGTTGCTAAAACCGATAATATTGCTAGCCCATTTGTTTACAAAAAGAAAACTATTTAAATCTTTGTACAAGAGTAATACTAATTAAATATACCACCATTATTTCCGCCCAAATATTAATTAATTACATACTTAATTGTGTTGGTTAATAAATTATTCTAAATAAATGTTGATTTCAATCAGAAATCAATATAATAATAAGTTATGAATGTGAACGTACCTATTGTTATAAACAAGCATTCATCAAAAAATAAAATAAAATTTATAAGGTGTTACTTTTTACCTAATACCTAAATCCTACCTCTCTAATATACATATAAGATTCAGTTTTTTTAGTTTTTGGAGCAATTATTAATCATCACAAACAGTCAATTAATGTAATTTGAATACTGGGATCAAATAAATTCGTCTTATTTTTATATTTTTTAATAAAATAAACAAACTATATCGACAATATTCGTATCTGTACTCTTTAAAAATTTGTTATATCTTTAAAAATAATCTAAAATGTCAATATTGTATAGGTATATTGATAAATGAGGTCTAAATTATAAGAAAATGCATTTTCTACAAAAACTTGAAGAGATACGTAAAAAATTGTATAATATAATTTGATAGACAATTAAATTATGCATCTGATTTTCGTAAAATATACAGGGTGTTCCATTTAAATTAAACCAGTTATTACCGTTTAAAGCTAGTAATTATTTAAAATAAATGTTAGGCACTGTATAAGGTAATATTATTTTTATTATTGCAACATAAAATTTAATAAGTAAATAATAAAAATAAAAATAATTAATATTAAATAAAAATTTAATAATTTAATAGAAAACTTCAGTACAATATTTGGTTTTAATAACTTAAATACGCCTAGAGAAATTAAATATTAAAATTGTTACTGCATTTTCACAAAATCATAAATATTTTAAAAATGGTAATAATCTTAATCAAATTTACCTATCTAATAAAAAACACAACTTTGATATTTTTTTTTATTTGTGGCACTCTGCACTTTTTGAAAATAATTATAAATTGTAGCTTTAGTAGACTTTTAACGATCCCATCACTTACAATTTTTAAAAATCTAACTGTGTGTCTACAATACTCCGTGTCGAATGAGGTGAATAACCTTGTATATTTTTAATACAAAAATACATAAAATTAAAGTAAACTATTTAACAAAACTTTCGCAATATATCAACATAAATAATGTCGTAGACAGTAACCGATATAAAGACTTAATACCGTGACATAATTTTTTACTGGACGTCTATCTAAAACCAGTCGGAAAGTTTCAGGTGCAACAACTTTACGCTACAGGAGCTTTCAGACGAGCCGGAAACGAAAAATAAATAGCTCAACTTTAAAATATCCCGAAGAGTGTCGAATGGGGCTTCTCCCGGGTGCATTAAAGCCTTAACGGCGAGGAAAGTTTTTTATCGCAAAGACGTAAAATTGTTTTTTACTGATTTATGCGGGCAAATTTAGATTTGTCGCCTTTGTTTTAGCACGTCGGAAGCTAAGTTGTCGGTAAAACGACGATTTTTTTGGAATATCCGTAAAATATTAGGGGGATGGTGCGTTTTATTTCTTTTTTTTTCAATTTCAAAG